CAAAGGGAAGGCCTTGTAAAGTCATGGCCCAGGCCTGCTACTTCAGCTAAGCAGAAAATGACTATGGGAAAGTGACTCAGCTGAATTAGAAGTAGAAAAACAAGTTACATAACCATCACGTGTTCACATAATGGTGTACGGCGGTTGGTTGAATTATGTTTGCTATCATTTAAAAGTATGTAACTGATAAAGGCCTGACTGCTGAGAAAGGCCTGGCTCTAACAATTAACCAGCTCTCCTTTGCATGTGCCTGGGGACTCTGTGTCCCTACAGACCCTCACTCATCTCACAATTGTACACTTTACAAAACCCATTTCAGAAAGATAAGTTAATTTCAACTTTGTAAATTTGATCTTTCTCATTTACCTATGTGTGCACACAGGTGTGCTATACAGAAGGATCTGCCAGTTAAAATTGGCAAAACACAGACCAAGTATTTTGTTTTCTTTGTGCATTCTTAATAGGTGTTTGGAACCAGCGATTTCTAACCTGCGTATTTTCCAGTAAGAAGAGACACAATGGTGTCGTGTGTGCAGAAATGTTATGTTCTAAATAATTATGTCTAAAAATGGTAAAAGTTGCCTTTTTGACATCCTGCACTAAGCTGACTGTCTTTGTGCTTTGTGCTGACTACAATCAGACTGTAAAAAAAGACTGTATGTTAACTATAATATGGCTTCTGTAAAATACCACTCCCAAATGTGGGATTACATGATGAAATGCAGCAGCCTAAATCTACCCACTGTCACAATTTATTCTTGTACTTTTGAAATGTCATTGTGAGATGGAAATCACAGAAGCACAGAAGGGATTACACTGAGTTGGAAAGGACCCATAAGGGTCATCAAATCCAACTCCTGGCCCCGTTGAGAATGCCCCAAGAGCCACACCATGAGCCTGAGAGCATTGTCCAAATGGTTCTTGAACTCTGTCAGGCTTGGTACTGTGAGTACTTCCCTGGCAAGCCAGTCCCAGTGCCCAACCACCCTGTGGATAAAGAAGCTTTTTTTTTAATATCCACCCTCAACCTCCCCAACACAATTTCATGCCATTCCCTCAGGTTCTGTCAGTGGCCACCAAACAGAAGAGATCACAAGACAGGGTTGGCCCTCCTGGCTACCAGTGCACTGCCAACCCACATCCAACTTTCCTGCTGACCAGGACCCCCAGGCTCCTTTCTGCAGCACTGCTCTCCAGTATCTCATTCCCCAGTTTATTTAACACAACCAGGTACTGAATTTGGCACCTTCCCTTGTTGTACTTCATGTGGTTGGTGATTGCCCAGGTCTCTAATTTTGAGGTCTTTCTACAGGACCTCCTTGCCTTTGAGGGAGTCAACACCTCATCCCAATTTTGTATGATCTGGGAACTTGCTCAGTATCACTTCTACTCCTGAGTTCAAGTCATTTATGGAGATGTTGAAGAGCGCAGGGCCAAGAATGGAGCCCTGTGGAACCCCACAGGTGACAGGTCACCAGTCTGATGTCACCCCATTCACTATCACCCTTTGTGCCTCACCTGTGAGCCAGTTGCTCACCCATGCCATGATATGTACATTCAGCTCTGTACTGCACATTTTCTCCAAAAGGATACTGGGAAAGATACTAGTGAAAGCTTTTCTGAAATCCAAAAAGAGTGCATCCACTGGCTTCCTTTGATCAGCTGTGTGGGTTACCTTGTCATAAAAGGATCACAGATTTGATCAGCAGGACTTCTCTCTTATGAAGCTGTGCTGGCTGTGACCAATGACTGTGTTTTCCTTTAGTGGTTTTTCAATACCTTCCTTCAATACCAAGTTTATTGGGCATTGTTTGTGACTAAAAGACATGTAGCTTCCAGGGTCATTCTTTTTGCTGTTTTTGAAAGTTAGGACAAAGTTAGCTAGCTTCCTGTCAACTGGGACCTCTCCTCTCTCTTTGGGTCAAATCTCTCTTACTCAAAACAAAAGTACAATCTATTGGCTTTGCATTACTAAGAGAAATAAACTGTAGTATATATGGGGGTTTTGTCTCTTCAATATTCATTCACAGAATATTCGGAGTGGAAGGGACCCAAAAGGATCATCTTAGCACTGCTAGCACCAGGCTCTGAGTTAATCTGTTCTCTCATTATTTTCTTCTTTTCTTTTTTTTTAAGGAAATTACAATAGCAGACAATGCAAAACACAATTGTTCTATACCTACACATGTGTTCCTCCTTCACATCTCTGTTGGCTAGCTTTTAAGCCTACTAGCAGTATGTCTGTAGTTCCCATGGTGGGAACTGTTTAAAGGTAACCAGAATTTTCCTTCCATTACTTTTGATTTTAAAACTACAATTCACAATCTCTTTTTTCCTTTGCTTTGTTGAACAGCTAGTGTTAGATGCAGGTTAAAATAGAACATCTCTCAGCATACTGCACCAGCTCCTCCCAAAAGTTTTCAAGTGGGATATATTTGTAGGTAAGTAAATTCTGTGGCCCATGTGAACCTGGAAATATACACATATCTGAAAAAATAATATTCCCACAGCTGCACTAGTTATGATGTATTTTCTTATGATTATTGTGGCCATACTTGTTCACCAATGCAGTATGTTAAATACTGTGGATGTCCAAAGTCACTTAGTGACTACAAAGACGCAGGTGCTCATATATCTGGGGTACAGATATTAGGCTCTTATATCCTTTGCCTGAGTTGCAGAATATATTTCAAAACTATTTTTTGTAGCTTTCTCATACCGGACCTATCCTGCTCCAAGGGAAAAGAAATGCAAACTGAAAAAAAAAAAAACCTCAAACAAACAAACTCCAAAAATGCAAGTAAAAAAACCCTCTGTTGCTAATGAGATGAAGATGTTGGAATTTTTAAAATAATTTTTCCCTATGTGAAAAAAGTGTGCCAAAATTTTCCTTGGGGAAAAAAATTTCTTAAGAAAACCATGGTGCAAAGTCCTGTCCTCCATTGGCTGCATTTGTAATTAAATTTGCATTTGTGTTCAGTGTAAAAGAAGGTGCTGTAGGGTCCCCTTTCCCACCCTCCCCACCCAGCTCCTTTTCCCCGAGCCCAGCCGGGCTGTGTCCCGGCGCTGCGCTCACGCCGTCGCTCCCCTCGTGTCCCGAGGATGTCCAGGGTGGTTAGGATTTGTCAGGTCACACCTCAGCCTGTCAGGACTCGGCGGCGTGTCCTTTGCCCTGCTGCAGCCATTGCTTCATTTCATCTGCACAGAGCCTGGCAACAGCCTGGCCTCCTTACATGCGCATAACCACGGCCGGCCAAAACGAGCTGGCTATTTTTGTCCTGCTTACCTGCCACATCCCCATGGCTTTTGCTAAACCATTCAGTGCTGTTATTAACCCCAGTCTGGGCCACGGTAAAGAAGCAAGCACTGCACACGTGCCTGTGAAGATGTGTGTGCAGCACATGCAGGCCCAGCAAGAGCTTCTGGTTCTGGGCTGAGTGGTGGGGGCAAGGCTACATCCCCAGCCCTTGCCTCTCCCTCTCCTTTCCCCCTTTCCTGTCCCCACAGCTCACTGCCTGCTTAAACTCGTCCTCACTCAGCTCCACTCTGCGTTCAGCCTCTCTCACTGCTTTCCCAGTTTTTCCCTAATATTTTTAATGTGAAAAGTTGACTCATTCTGTGTCTTCCACTCCCTTGGTCTCACAACCTATTTTCTTCATGGCAGTTCTTTCTTTTAACCTGATCCCCAGCGACTGCCCCACGAGCCTGCCTCTCCTTCCTGCCATGATCTGCTCTCCCCTTCTACCTCTTCTCTCCCATTGCCTCCCGCCCCTCTTCTCTCCTGCCCAGCCTGAGTCAATGGAGCAGGAATATCCATGGAAGAGGTGAGGCCTCACTCCAGGCAGTCCTACAGCCTCAGCTGCAGCCACGGCAAACACACTGCCATCCTCACCTTGGCTCCTGGAGAAAGGAGACCTCAGGTACAGAAACATGGGAGCTTTGGCCAGAGTCTTCTTCTGGGCCTGGGGCAAAAAAAGGTACACTTCTAAACATGACATTTCACACAGTATGTGCACATCTGAAAATTTACTTGAAACTGGTTTAATTAGGTGCTGTGCTATCAAGCCAAACAACTAACTCACTGGTAATAGGAGAGAGAGAGAAAAGAACCAGGTCAGCAGCGGGTGCTGAAGTAGTTTCTAAAAAGAAGCAATAATCTAACATTAGCGCAATACTGTATTGCTTATGTTTCTTTGGTGTTTTTGCAGGACATCTTTGCCTCTTGTTAGAAATAAAAGGCAAATCTGTTCTCAGGCGATTCTTCTCCCCTACTTTTCAGCCTTAATGGTATTTGCATCTCCTCCACCTTCTTCCTTTTTCTTTTCCTTTCCCCATCCCTTTTAAGTTGTAATTCAATCTCTTCCAACACATGATCTCTTTTCTTTTTTTGGCACTCCCTCCACCCACTTTCTCATTAGTTTGAGTTAATTAGGAATAGTAGGCAGCCCTCAATCTGTTATGTGTTAAAACAGAACAATCCAAAACAGAGGCACAGACACAACTACGTGATTTCATTGTCTAAAGGAGACAGAAAACCAGTGGGGATTCTCTTATCTAGACTAACATCTTCCCAATGGTTAACCTAACTGGCTTTAAAATGTTCCGCAATTGCAGATCTGGGACAACAATCTTTCCCTGTTTCCTTTTCTTTTTTTTCTTTTTTTTTTTTCATTTCATCATTGGCAAGAATGAGTGAATTGGACTGACATGGAGGTGATAGAGGAAGAGAAATAGTCTACATGTCAAAATGACAATTTATATTACATGGTTAACAGAATGAGTGGTACGTGCAATGGCTGTGGGTATTTTCATCTGCTGTGTTGTACAATAAGGTCCTTTTTTTCTCCGCAGTGTATCATCAAGATCACTCCCAATTCAATGCAGATTGTTTGCTTGAAGTATATCTTTCTAACAGTAATATCATTTGATAAATGTCGAATTGAAACAAGAATCTAAGTATTCACTTGTTTCTATTAGTGAATTGTGTATGTATAAAGGTCATGCCTGGTATTTTTCCTGTAGTGCTGATCACCGACCTTAGGGCAGAGTGTGCTGTGGAAGTGAATTATAACACGTCTAAGAAATCAAGCCCTGATTCTGAAGGTAAGGCCTTACATTTTTTGACTGACTACATATGGTGCTGTTTGGATGAAATGCATGCTTAGGAAAGACAGGTGTAGCTGTGCAACTACTACAAAAATTTATGCCTGCATTAAACATAAATGTGAGTGCTTTTGAGTGTTTATGAGACTGTTGATATATGTATATTTAAATGCATAATTATGTAAAGTTTTAATCTTCAAAGATTGTTGTGTAAGATTCATGAACTATAGACAGCCACACTTATAATAATTGTTAGATTAAATTTCTAATTTGGTACGTATGTGCCTGCATGCAGATGAAGTTGTGTGGCAGTAATTTGTGTCAATAATTTACTCATTAATTAGCAATGCTAATGCAATAACGCTTTAAAGTTCCACAGCTTTCAATGATCTTTTTTGAAATCTGATATCCAGGATATAGAATGAAAAATCTATTGGAAAAAAGGAAACAGAGACATTGTAAGTACTGCCATCAAAATGTCTTTATCTGTGTTCAGAAAAAATAATTTCCTTTCTGCCAGAAACATCTCTTTATGACAGAGAAGACATCAGACTAATGAGACACAAAAGAATGCTTAATGAATGACAAAGTATAAGCTTGATAATCAGAACATACCAGAGTGCTACAACACTGGAGAAGATAATATCCCTCAAAAAGACATCCTTGGAGGTTTTACTGGGAGGTAGGGGGGCAAGAAGTTTCTGTCTGGATACAGATAGCATGAGACCAAACATCTCCAAATGGAGATGCAAGAAGTTGCAAGTTTAGATGCAAGAAGTTGCAAGTTGCAAGAAATTTAGGACTTTTTTACAATTTATTATTAGTATACTGTTTGTTTATTTATTATCCTAGCTATTGGTACAGTTTCATGCAAACTTCATTAACTCTAGCAAGGAGATATATTTGGCCTTTATACTGTTCCTCCATTTGATCTTTTCTTTCTACAGTAATGCAAAAAACGTAGTGATTGTTGTGGGTCTGCTTTACACCGCAGATGAAAAATTGTTCTTTTTTTACCCATGGAATTAAAATAATTTATATTAACACCTCCATTTCAATACATGCAATTAAGATTATTTAATTTATGCAATCTTTCTCTATGCACTTTAGATTACAATGCATAAGAAAAATGTATAAACATGTACTTTAATGGAAATTCAGGACTTTAAAAATCTCTATACTAGATGACATTAATAATTTTATGTAGTGACTACATTAATAACTTTATGAAGTATTGACATCTGAAACTATATCGCTTCCAGTGCTACACAGAAGCCATAAAACTTGTATGAACTCATATAAATCCATTTATTAGTCAGAAAGAAAAATATGAGGGGAGATTAGTAAAACTAAGTTAATCTAAAATCTATCAAAAAGGTGTCCAGAAAGTAAAAACTTTTAGGAAGGGAGGAAATAATTTCCACTTTATCATACGTATAGTAAACATACTAGTATTTCTTCAAGAGTAAAGATTCTTCAAGAGTAAAGATCCCTTCACATGCTCAGATTAGAGCTATGGTTTCTATCATATCTTGTAGCTTTTCTCATGTCAAACCACTAAGCTAGCCCTGAAATTCTTCCATACCTAAAACAGCACGATTTTCTCTACAATGCACATAAAACCCCTGTCTTCCATCAGCATATAAACTGGTATGGCAAGCGTAGGAGAAAGATAGTGCTGTGGTGTAAGAAGTTTGCATTTTAGTACGTGATAAACCAGGGAGGGCATTTGTCACAAACTGAGAGGAATGACTGGAAGATTGTTACATAACACAAAGCAGAATCTGCAGTCCCAGTGCTCTCAATTCACTGCTGCCCCTGAAGTCCAGCTCAGACACGGCTTCAACAGCAAGCTCAGCTTGAGCCACGCTCAGTATGACACTTTGTGAAAGCTTCAGAATGCAGGGTAAGATAATAAACAGCTGCAGAACCAAGCAAAAAATAACTTCTAAAATGCAGAGGTGATGCAGAAGTGTCCGTGTCCTGTAGGTATTAGTAGCACATAGTGACTCATACATGTGGTTGTGTAACCAGACAAAAACATAAAGCCAATTGTTTTATAAATTATCCTTTAAGAGACACTGCTCCTACTGGATCAACAACTTTGATACTAAAAACTGCTCTAAATCAGTTAGGCGTGATGATAGCTTATCTTGTGCTTCTAATGCTTGTGCTTGCATTGCAGTTGATTTAGACTTACTCTTGAAACATATAGAGGTAGATTCACAGAGATACATATATTTGTAGGATACAGTGGTATTTTGACACTTGGAACAATAACCTTTTTGGATTTGATATAGTGCTTAAATACACCTCAGAATTAAAACTCAGACTAAGTATTATTTTAAAATTCATTCCTTATATAATTAGTAAAAAGTACATAAAAGCAGGTATTGCTAGCTGAACAAAAAAGAAATCCAGAAAAATAGAAGCCTATGATGTTTCAGCTGCAGCAATAGAATTTGTGAACTCAAACAATTTGAAGGATATTTAGGTTATATAGAAAAATGCTAACTATGATGAACTGGAATAATCTTGTGTACAGGTACATGCGGAATATTAATTGGATTGCTAATTTCCTCAAAAGCCAGAGGTGCAGTAGGAAATTTTGATGATTAATAAGCCTTAATCTGTTAATAGGAATCCTGGAAAAAGATTTAGTGATCGTAAATACAGCTTACTGTATACAGAAATGTTTCCATCTCGATATAGTGGTATAAAAAATTAGACAAAAATATTTTTCATCCTTTATCCAAAAATATTTGAATGGTTTATATTTTAATCATGGAGATAGATAACTGAAATTGTTAGGCTAAAGCAGGCGTGTTCTTACTATAATGGAGTTAACTACCCAAATATCCTTTTAGTTTTTGGACCCTGACCATCCCTTTTTGCAAACACTTCCTTTTTAAACCGCTGCCTGGCATTACACAGACTGCAGGCTTCTGCAAATGTTCACCACCAAGCAAAGTACTTTCTATCAATAATCATTCTTAATTCTCCATATTGGCTTTAAAGCTACAAGCACAAACCTACTTGACAAAATGCCTTTACATGATACCCAGGTTAGTATCTTTTCTTAGTTGCTAGTGTATTGCTTGAGCCTTAATTTGAGCCAATGAATTTAATTGATTGTATTTTTAAACTTCCATTAGCATTAATATCTATTCCAAAATTAAAGAAAAATTAGTAGTAAATAAAATTCAGAGCCCTCAAAATTAATATCCTTTTAGATCAAAGGAAGTAGCTTTTCTTATTTTGTGGTCAGGTCTGGGAAAAAATAAAAAAAAGTCAGAGAACACTTTTTTGGATGCATTTGAGAAGTTATGACATTTTTGTGTGTTTGAAATTTTAAAACTTTTTTGAAAACAAATTGCCCTGACTAATTTTAAGAAATTTTCTTTGTGGTATTTGTATAAACTGAACAATGAAATATTGTACAAAAGCACATAGCCTTCAGAATATGTTCTCAGTGTATATTTAACTAATTCTGTACCTCAGTTCGTGATGGAATTAGGGATTAGATAGGGAAAAAGGGGATGGATTTGAAATGCCTTATTGAAACTTTACTCTTATGCACTCTTACAGTTGTCACAGAGGTAGCATGGCAAGATAGCTATTTCTCTATCCTCATAAAAAACAGTAAGTGTATTTGATGTTGTCTTGTTTTCAAATGCTTTATTGTAAAACTGTAGCTACACTAAAACAAGACAAGACTTTATAAGACTTTTTTAAGTTCAATGGAATAAAATCTTCATTTTAGTTTGCTTTACATGCTATCACAAAGAGAAGAAATGGGAAAATAAATTATGAGAAAAATATTGTCAAAGCAACTTTTCCGCTTTGTCTTTCAGAACATTTTAAACTGATTGTCTTTCCATCCAAAACCTGCTGTCTATGATTAAATAGTTGTGATTGTATTAAGTGAACTGAAATGCAATTCCTTGAGCACTGAACATTCCTGAACTGTGAGTACTAAAAGTATCGATAAATTTACTTCCATCCTGTGACAATTTAACAGCACTCTTTGACTTTATGTGAACTTACATGACTTTTCTAGCTAGATAAACATGCTCTAATTTTAAAATTTTTCTTGCTTTTCATTGCAAACTACAGCACTTGAATCTCATGTAATTTCTCCTCAGTGAACAGCTATTCTGTAGTTTTTCTCAGAACACTCCTGAGTAGTGTTTTCAGAAAAACTACCGAGTAGAAATTTTCTTCTCTTTTCACAGAGATATGACAGTATTATTTTCCATCATTAAGCATCCTTGGCAATGAAGGGCACTTTGAAAGGAAGTGTATAGAGAAGTTTGAGTTTCTAAGAACTTGCAATCTTGGAAAATATTAGACAGCTGTTACACTGGTACTACCTAATTATTGCAAGTACGTATTTAAATTTTTTTTAAATTTGATTTCTCACAATAAATCAGCTATGTGGATTTTGCTGAAAGAGTTGCTAGTGATGAAAGAATAAAAACAGAAAGTTAATCTTGTGAAAAACAGACAAGAAGGTGTAAGTATTCATAGACAGTAGACTCCAAACTGATACTGCAGTTACCTGCAAGAGAAAAACAAATTAGAACATATTCTAATATACCTAGTGCGTAGTTGTCAGCTTAACCACTTACACTTTTAGTGTACTGCAGTAATTTAAAGCAAGACACAGGGAAAGCAGGTTTATCAAGGAATGGTGAATAAAAAGGTGAGAAGTTTCAGTGTTAGAAAAGAGACTGAGTGCCCTTCTATGCCCCCAACTACTGTGATTAATTGACTAGAGCACTGTGGAAGAAAAGTTGTTCTGCCTAGGAAAAAAAAACTGGTTTCTGCCCAGAAAAGTGGAACTGCAGCTCTAGCTCCAGCTTCCAGCAGGTGAAAACCTGGACAATTGCTCTGGGGACATTTCTCTTCAAAAGGCACATCACAAAGGTGTGGATGTTTATCCACTGCAGGGAAACATAAATTGTGTGCTTGTGCACTCTCTAGGGTGGCAAAAGGAG